CCTGATCAGTGTTTGATTGTTTGTTTTGTCTTGCTGCTTTTCTTCTTTTGTCTCTCCTCTATCCACTCACCCCAACCGATCGAGGCAGAAGGCCGCCCACCAAGAGCCGGGGTTTGTCGGAGGTTTCTTCCGTTAAAGGGAGTTTTTCCTCCCCACTGTCGCCAAGTGCTTGCTCAAGGGGGATTTGTTGGGTTTTCCCTTTGTAATAATATTGATAACAGTAAGGTCTAGACCTTACTTTGTAAAATGTCCTGAGATGACTTTTGTTGTGATTTGGCGCTATACAAATAAAATTTGATTTGATTTGACTGTAAAAAATGATGTAGATCCAAAGAAGTTCATATCATATCAGAACTGAGTAAATGATTAGCCCCTGAGCATCTCTGTCTGTCAATAAGTTGTGTGGGGAGAATAGTCAGACAGACTGTACGTGGGGAGGAGAGGGTATCAGCTTACACAGGGCCTTTTTCTGGCCTCAGGGAACACAACAAGCCCAAACAGGCCATCCTCAGAACTAACAGAGGGCACAGTGAGTGAGTCGTTCAGCACAGGTGATTACTGCTGCCTTTCCCTCCGCCGGTCGTAACAGCAAACAGCTAACACTGTCACAGCCCACATAACTAGCTCACTGTGTGGGCATCATCCAGCCAGGCCTGTTATGATCCACATGTAAGACTGCAAGTGTTTTCTGTTTCTCTGTGCACATTTATGTGTTCTCAGTTTTGGAGCTATAGCAGCAAAGCCTCTGAATGCTCAGGCTTCTGTTATGTGTTAAAAAGGAACATTAGAACTTGAAAGGTAAGATAAGGAGAACTTGACCAGCCGTGCTGAAGAAAAAAAAGGAGAGACAGACAGACAGACATGTGGCAGAAGTGCAATAAACACTGTAAGGAGTCAAACATTAAAGGAAAGCTCGGCTCGGAAACAGTCCCAGCTCACAGGCGTTATACCCTCAACAGAAGAACACACCAGATGTGTTGCATTTTCTGGCTGACATCTAATGAGCCTTGCATGAAAACAGTTTCAGTTAGCTGCTGTTCCAGAATGTTTAGAGTCTTTTGCATAGGCATCCATACTTCAGAGACAAATGAGCCAGTTGTTTTTTTTTTTTTTTATCCACGTACCAGATTTCCACACGAGTAGAACTTCATAGGGTTTTATCCCAGTGAGTTAGTTTGTTATTCTACAGCTAACATCTCATTATATTCTGATGGCAGGTGTTTTTCCTGGAACTGATATAATGATGCTGTTTCAAGGTTGTCTTATGTAATTTACTTAAACATGAGCTCATCCTTTGCACCGAATAATGAAGGGGTTGAATCTTTCATATTCATAACTTTCATACTCATGAAAATGAACTAATTAAATTGATTTTATGTCTAATGATAACTTTTACAATATCCAGTGACTTTTTAAAATTATTTAGCACAGTATGTTTTCGACTCTGCAGTTCATTCATTAAAAATTTTATGCACAGCCTCTACTTTTGTCTCTAAAATTCCCACTCAGCCTATCTGCTATCACGCTGCTTTATGGAGCAGCTTTCTCTTCTCGTTTGTTCTCGGTCATTTTTAAAGGCCTAAAAGTAGACACATGAATATTTAATACTAACTGGCAGTGGATTTTATGACAGTCTGGCCATGTATATTACACCAGTGTCTTACACAGATTGCTTGTAATGTACAAACTACTTTAATCGATAAGAAATTCATTCCTAAATAAATAAAGAATATGTGCATTACTTTGGGAGAGATTCTTCAACATACCGAAGTGTCTCAAAACAATTTTATCCTTTGATGTTTTAACATTTACTCTCTTGTGTTACAGTTCATTCAAGCACTTGATTGGAGGTTTGGAGGATGTGTCCTGTAAAGGCCATGAGGATGCTGATGCTAAAGCCAAGTAAGGCAATTAGAATTTATAGTTATGCATGAATGAATTCAAATACCCACCAGGCAAATGTATCTTATAGCTTTGCACCTGGGGCTTGAAATTTGTTTTATTTGGCTTCTGTTTAAATCAACTGATTTTCAAATTAATTTTCAGTCTCGGTAAACTTTTACAACCTTGCACCATATCATGACTGTCAACCTGCTGCAGCATTTTATAACGAGACATGCTCCAGGCCAGGTGTTAATGCATTGTGCCTGTAGGTCTGTTACATAACAAGACAGTACCCAGCTGGCAGGCCAGAAAACAAAGGCTATGACCTCTGCCGCTATTTCTGGAGGAATTAATATGTATTCTATTTATTGTCGCTATGGAAACAAGAGAAGAGCCATATAAGACACCTTGGCAGTGAGGTAAGCATCTTGGGGTTCAGACAACCACATATTGGTATAATGTGATACCTTGCTCGCTCGGTGCTATGTTGTGAGTCAAGGTGAGGAGAAACAAGAACCCTGTAATGACAGATTACAGAGAGTGAGAGAGAGCAGGAACAGTGTAAACAACAGGAAAGGAGAGAGAGAGATGTAGATAGATGGAGAAAGTGAGGAGAGGACAGAAGATAACAGGATGGGTGACAAAGCAGACTAGACCGACGCTTGGAATTTGTAACTGACTGCTGATAGTGTCAGTCATCTTATCAAATCAGTGGCATTTAGTCAGCAAAGAAAGACCATAACACCGGTTACTGTGCTGGACAGAGGCCTCGAGGAAATAAAGAGAATGGATACCGTATAATGCGGGGGGGGAGCAGTGCCTTGCCTCTGGCATTCAGCCCTGGCCAGGCTCACTATCACTGATGAGTGCTGATGTGTGATAGAACGAGACCCACAGTGTGCATTCATTACCCCATTATTTCCATCTCTAGGTCTTTATGGAAGTAAATTTAAGATTGATTTTATGTAAATGAGCAACAGTTAATACTTTGCCATGGTTGTTATTTGTAGCCTTATTATCAACCCTGTTCTCTACAGGATCCTACCTTAAAATAGTCACTCTCTCCCTCTGCTCCCTTAAATCTGTCACATCAAAGCTATTTTCACCATGATTGAGGCATCTTTTCCTGTTATGTGTGTCTGTCATCTCTCGCTGGTGCTCCCCACCCTGTAGTTTATTTCTTGGTGAGGAAAACCTGAGTCAGGATCCCATGGTGATGGAAACTGTCTCTAATTGGTCACAGTGGATTAGCACTGTGCAACAGTACTGTAACTATGCAGCAAAACTACAGCTGCTCTGTGTGAGTCTGACAGGTCTTTTCTTCACAGACTACCCCTGTGCTGTATGTGCACACTG